ATCTCTAATTTCCAAATTCAAGTGTTCTGCAGAATTTGGGATCTGCAGAACCCAGGAAAAGCTTTTGCACAGCCCAGCTCAGCTCTGATATTCCAAACTTCAGCATTCCACAGGCTGGGATTGCTAGCAATGCGAGGCAGCAGAGCCCACACAAAACTCAGAATTCAGAATGAAGCAAACCCCATCAGCTCATGCTGTGACCAAGCTCAATTCTAACCGGGAAAACACAGAATAAAACCCCAACTCTGCCAATGAATTCCTCTGGGATTCACCCCCCCATGCCCATCCCACAGCACCCAGATCCCAGGACAGCTCCTCACCTGCCGGGCTGCATCCCTGCTCCTGAGGATCACCAGCTCCTGGTCGATGCTGTCAATCTCCTCCAGGCTGGTGCCGATCCATTTCTGGATCTGGAGGATGTAAAACTCCCGGATCTGCTCCTCATCTGCTGTCCCGCTCTCCACAGAGCTGCTCATGGAGGCCAATTTGTTCTCCAGCTCCTTCTTCTGTTTGTATCTGGCTCAAACACAGCAAAAATCAGATCATGGAATTATTTTTCTCCAGCCCAGCCCAGCCCTGGTTGTCTTTACCACCCTTTCTAAGAGGTTCAGCACAATTTCATGCAGGTTGTGCTGGTTCCTGTTGGAATTTCAGCTTCTCCTGTCTGTTAAAAGCAGGTGTCAGATGAAATTAAATTCGATTTTATTCTTTTCCTAAACATTGAGGAATTCTTGGAAATTATGAAGCCTTCCTGGTAAAATAAGAAAGGCTGGAAACATCAGGCTCCTGGAGAAAGTAGGACTGAGAAACTCAACTGGTTTGAGTTCATTCCATGTCACACAAACAGAATAAAACACTTTTCCAGCTTCTATCTCAGGTGGTTTTGGGTGTGCAGGTGTTTTTTTAAATATAATTTTGGCTTTTTGGAGTTTTTGACCTATTCAGGAATTAGTTATTAAAGGGAAAAACTCCCTATATAATAATCTTCCATGGTAAATTTATTTTTACTTTCTCAGGAATTAGTTATTAAAGGGGAAGCTACTCCTATAAAACACTTCCAAATGAAATCCTTGTGTTCCCCCTTCCCTCAGTTTTTGTCACCTGAACAATGAGCAATAAGAACCAAGAAATTTTTGGGAGCTGAGAGGACAAGGAGCATAAAAGAGTAACTCTAAAATAGAAACCTTTCCCAATTAGAATATAATTCATATTTTGCTCTCTGGTTTTCTATCCAATTTAAGCAGGTCCAGCCTAATGTGGGCCTTTTAGTCCTGCTACAACGAGTAACTCAGTGGCCAAAATCCCAACCAAAGCACCTCTTTTTCAAACTCTAATGAGCCCAGTAGTAGGAAACTTCCAGTTTGGAAGTTTTTATGCGGTCAGCAATGATTAAAGAACTAATGATAAGGTTATTAAAGAGCTAATTATAAGTTTTTGAGCAGTTTTTTCTCAGAGACCAAAAACTGGAGACACAAATGCCCCACCCCAGCCCAACCCACTACATAATGGGCTGCACCTCTTCAAATGAGCATTTTATAATCAAACCATTCCAATGCCCAGGGAAGCTCTTCCCTGTCCAACCCTGCACTGCCTGAGCCTCCTGCTCCTCCCAGACTCACTCCCAAAGCCCTTCCCAGTGCACACAGAGCCCACCTTTCAATTTTGGCTGTCCTGCTCATGGCCATGGCCATCAGGTTGGGCTGGGCAGGGTCGCGGGGGGTCGGGGGGGCCCCAGCTCCCTCCTCGCTGGAGGTGCTGGGGGGCAGCTGGAAAGATCCCAGCCCGTAGTTCCTGCAGAGCTTGAGGAAGCGCAGGAAATGCTCCCGGGCGGTCTCCAGGTGCTCCATTCTCCTGCTCAGGTCCACCTGTTTCAGCGTCAGGGCACCCAGCAGTGCCGGCAGCAGCATAAATTTCAGATCGGCCGAGGCGACTTCCTCCAGTTCTTCATTCTCACTGTAAGGGAGAGACCGGGGAGTCCAGGAAAAGAAATGGGATGGGAAAGGGGTCGGAGTCACCTTGTAAGGGGCGGCTGAGGGAGCTGGAGGGGCTCAGCCTGGAGAAAATAAGGCTCTGGGGGGACCTTGTGGCTCTGCACAATTCCCTGACAGGAGAGGGCAGCCGAGGGGTCGGGCTCTGCTCCCAGGGAACAAGAGCGAGGGGAGATTCAGGTTGGACATCGGGAGGATTTTCTCCATGGAAAGGGTGGTCAGACATCGGGAGGGGATGCCCAGGGAGGTTTGGAGTGCCCATCCCTGGAGGTGTCCAAGGAAAGACTGGACGTGACACTCAGTACTCTGGGTTGGATCAGTCACAAGTTGGACTCGATGGTGTTGGGGATCTTTTCCAACCCCAGTGATTCCGAGATTCTGTCCCGTTCTCGCTCCACCTCTGCCCTGCCCGGGGACCCTTCCTGTCCCCCTCCGACGAGTCCCCAGCGCTCACCTGAACAGCTCCAGCTGCGCCACCATGGCCGCCGCCCGCCGCAGCGCGTCCAGCGCCTGCCGCACCTTCTCCTGCACGGCCGGGGCTCCGGAGGACGGCTCGGTGCTGGCCTCCAGCTCGTCCCAGAGCCGCCGTCCCAACGCCAGCAGCTCCGCCAGCCGGGGGCCGTCCGCGCCCGCCTCCGCCATCATGGGCCGGGAACGGCTCCACCGCCACTTCCGGCGCGTTCCGGAGCGACCGTACCCGCCCCGACCGCCATCTTGGGGAGGTCATTGCCATAGCCACAGCATGCGGCGCCATCTGGGGAAGGTCACCGTAACTGACACTGGGTGCCATCTTGAGGAGGTCGCTGCTATGGCAACAACGGGCGCCGTCTCGGGGAGGGCACCGGCACCGCCGGCACCGCCATGTTGGTGAGGGCAGGCTGAGGGGCAGCGGCCCCGGTGGGTGCTGTGATGGCCCCGGTGGGTGCCGTGATAGCCCCGCGGCCGTGGAGTCCCCGGAACCCCGCGGCGGGTGGGCACAGCGGGCAAGCGCGGCTCGGCGGGGCCGGGGGCACTCACAGACCCCCAGTGCGCCCACACTTTTCCCTGCCAGGTCCTGCCTGGCGCACCGGCCTGCACAGGTCCTGGCAGGGAGCGCTGTGATGGAGTCTGGGGAACTGGGGAAAAATGAGGATAATTGGATAAATTGGAAGACAACATCCATTTCCTCCCTGCATAAAAGGGGTACACAGTGGGGATCCTTGACAGTGAAGTTCTGGATGTCAATAAACATCAATTTATTTGTTTCAGCACAGCACCTTCCCATTCTCTTCTCTATTCTTTCTACAGTACAGATGGGACATGCATCTTTCTCCTTTCTTTTTAATTCATGTCACTCCTAGAATATCTAAAATTCAACCAGCCTCAGGCAGGTTAGGGTTAAATCTATGCTTTTAGGAACAGGTTATTTCCCTTAGAAACACAGGTGAGTGACCTGGCTGTCAGCAAAGTATGGATGTAGTAACTCTACTACTGATCATTACTCCTGAGTAATTCAGCCTTTGAAGATGACTCAGTTTACAATTTATTCTGTTTGTTTCCTTCATGCCTGTGCCAGATTGTGCAATAAATCATTATTCACGGAGCCCCAGGAGTGCTGTGGGTGCTCAGAACCTGTCTGGCTCCAAGTCTGGGCTGATGGGATGAACTCCAGAGTGTTCAGGGCCACCTCAGTGTCTGCCCTGTGGAGGAGAGAGTCTGGAGGCTCCCTCCCCTCTGGAATGTGTGCCCAGCCTGGGAGAAGGTAAATCCTTCCATGTGAGGCTGGGGAGGCTCTGGAATGGAATTCCCAGAGAAGCTGTGGCTGCCCCATCCCTGGGAGTGTCCAAGGCCAGGTTGGACAGGGCTTAGAGCACCCTGGGATAGGGGAAGGTGACCCTGCCCATGGCAGGGAACGGAACAAGATGGGCTTTAAAGTCCCCAAACCATCCCAGGATTCCATGATCCCAAGGGATGGAGAGCTGCTCCCCCTCTGAACCCCCCACAACCCCTGCCAGACCTGACCTTCCAGTGACACCCAAAATCCCTCAGGCTGCCACTGGTTCCCCCTGAGGTCTTATGGCTCTTACTCACCCTGTTTGTCCCTGTCCCTCGGCTGAAGATCCCCACACGGACAATCCCTGTCTTTGTTTGTCATCCTCAGAGCACCACGATGCTGCTGAACACCCCGGGAATAAAGGAGAACAGAGAGGGAAGGGTTTTTCCTTAAATACCGGCCCTTACTCATGTGTGTGTCGCGTGGTGTGATGGGGCACGGACCAACCATCCCAAAGGTCACAGCAACATCCCCCAAATATTCCCAGAAGCGCAATATGGACGGGGCTTGGAGCAACCTGGGCTCATGGGAGGTTCCCTACCCGTACCAGGGGGTGGAACTGGATGAGATTTAAGGTCCCTCCAACCCAAATAATTCCAGGATTTCCCGATTCTGTGAGATGTTGATCCACAGCTGAGCCCCAGAATGGCTTTTCTCCTCCTTCTGGCTCAGCCCTGTGAGCAGCACAAAGAAAAAACCAGGTGCAGGTCCTGACCCACATTCCAGTGGGAGCTGCAATCCTGGGCTGTGCAGAAGAAATATCCCAAAATATCAATAGTTAATTACCCACAGGTTGTTGCCCTTGCTCAGATTGTTCTCCTGGAATGAGTTACGCAGAGTCCCGCAATGAATAAGGAAATAAAAATAAATAAGTCAGTGTTTTAACAGCAAAATCAAAAGAATCCATGAAAATAACTGACTTTGCTGCACAAGTTTGACCAGCAACAAATAATCGCGTTCACGCTGACATTACTCCCTTAAAACCTAAATCCCTTTAAAAATTCCCGCTGCATCCCCTGGCCCCCTGTTCCTGGGAGATGCTGCCAGCCCTGCAGGTCTCACATCCCCGCTAATTCCAGGTGTGGGTCCGGATTCCCGCAGCTCCCACCGAGAGCGTTGTCACCGAGCTGTCACCCCCTGCCAGCCTGACCCTTTGCACTCTCCAGCTAATTCCAGCGCTTTCCCGTTTCCCGGCTGCAGGGTGACCCCTCCAGCCTTTTCCCAGCTCTTCCCTGTCGGGCTTGGAGTCAAGGAGGGAGAGGAGGGGTGGGTTCTGCATATTCAGCACTTGACCCTGCCTTTTCCCAGGCAGAAATTCCAACGGGACCTCTCTAGGAGGGATTCCGACAGCTCCCCTGGGCATTCCTTGCTATTGTGGCTCCTCTCCTCTCCCCCAGGCGATGTGTGTTTGTAGTTACCAAATGCAAATCACATTTCCCACCCTCCTGGCTGGAGTTCTCACTCCACAAGATCCTTCCCGTTTTGGTTTTTTGGGGTTTTTTTTTCCCTCTCACCAGCTCGTTTTGCAATGCTCGGAGTTCGCAGCCCCTCCCGATGTCACCTCCCTGTGATCTGGGATGGAGAAAAGGCATTGAAGCAATGCTAATTAAATACCTGCATCCCTCCGGACACAGAAACTGTGGCTGTTTTGCAGCTGAAACTCCTTTTTCTGAGGAATGCCGGGCACTGACCCCTAATTGCATTTTAAAAGGAAAACTCGAGACAACTTTTGTCCTTGGGCAGCCGCGGTTTTCCAGGCGCTCCGGGAAGGGAGGTGGCAGCAGGCAGAGTCTGTCAATGGCACATTAACAGCTGATAACCAGGGGTAACTCACTCCTGGCGCTCCCCGAACTCGGGATCCTCTCGAGTCACCCCCCAATCCTTCCCTGCTCGCACAGAAACCTGGAGCACATTAAGGGGAGGGGATGTTTTACAAGGAAAGCTCGTGAATTGATTCCGTGAGCCAGCAGAGACCGTTAAAAATGATGGAATGGATGTGGAGATGAGTAATCGTCCAGCTGGGCTCGGGCTGAGCGCGGCCAACTCCAATCAATGGGAACCAAAAATAAAGCGGAGCTGCTGGAGCCTCCAGGCAGGAATCCACCCTGGAGGATTCCCATCCCATTTACCTGTCCTCCTGGAGTCTCTCCAGCACCTTTGGACTCACCCTTTCTCTCCAGAGGCTGCACAAGCAGGAATCTCATCCCATCCAAGGATTTGGACAGATTCTGCTCTAAGGGAAATGTGGGAGCCCTCATCCCTGGCTCCCAACCCCTTGCTGTTCACACACAACCTTGGCTAGCCCAGCCCACATTCCCAAGGATCAGAAAATAACTCTGGACTGCTGCACTTTCCAGCACCAGCCCTGAATCCCAGGCAGCCAGTTCCCAGGCAGCTGGAGACCTGAGGAAGCAGGGGATAAAACTGGAGCTGAGGCTTGCAGGGGTCTGTAATTTAAGGCAAATCTGAGCCTGTGAGAAGCAGAAAGAGTTAAAAGCGAGCTGGTGCTCAGCTACATGTAAGGAAAAGTGGTGGGCTTTATGGGGTCCGGGCTTTCCTTTCAGCCTCTCCTTCTTCAGGAGCAGCTGGGAGGGAGATGAAGAAAAGATTGTCGTAGAAAACAAGGCACAGGGAGTTATAACATGTTTATTTTAAACACACACACCAGAATACAGGGACTACAGAGACTAAAGGTTCTTTCTTGCTTCCCCAAGGCCCTGTAATTGTGTCCCCCTCTCCAGGCCAGAATTCCAACACACCTGGTCCCGAGGGGTGGAAGGAATGGGCTGAAGGTGTCAGTGGGCCAAAAGAAGGGGCAGGAAGGACAAACCATGAAGATTCCATGTGTTGAGTGGGCTCCCACCTCCAAAACGAGGACAGAAGCTACAGTGATGCCATGGCTGAGGTGTGTTTTTGCCCAGTTTTGGCAGCCCCCAGGCCCTCTCCTGTCCCTGGTGTCTCTGCCCTCATCAGCACCATCTCCATGCATCTCCCTTGGGATGCTGCAAATGCCACTGGAGCAGGGTTTTCCCCTGAGGAGGAACACCCAGCAGAATCCCATTCCCAAAGGAGCTGCCCATGACCCCCTCACCCGTAGCAGCTTTCCATCCCTGCAACCTTCTCCCTGTGGATAACTCTACCCCCTCCCATCCATCACTCCTGCTGTCAGAATCCTCCTGCAAAGGCACAATGGCAGCCCAGGGTCCCCATTCCCCTGGAGAAAGGAACTTGTGCAATGATCAGTGGCTTTTCCCAGCTGGAGGCAGAGGGCTGACCACTGACCAGAGCTCTGGGCTGGAAGGGACTGGATTCCCCAAATCCCTCAGTTTGAGTTTTCCATGCGAGGCCAGGCTTCCTGCACAGCCTCCTCCTTGCTGGGAGCATCCCTTGGGATGGGCTCCCGCTGTCCAGCCATGCCTGGACAAACTCTGCTCCTCATTTGCAGACGTGTCTGTCCAGGCTGCGCCGGCAGCGCCTGCACACCACGGAGCAGCACCAGCGGTAGCGGCAGTGGCAGCGCTCCTGCACCTCCTCCGTGTAGGTGTTGTAGCCACGGCCACAGCACAGCAGGTCACAGCTGTCACTGCCCACGGAGTTCCTGTTGCACGGCCTGGGGACAGAGGTGGCAACCTGGGGACCCTGGGCTCTCCCAGAGCTGGTGTGCCCAGAGCAGGAGGCAGCAGGATCATGGAATCGTGGAAGGGTTGGGTTGGAAGGGACCCTAAAGATCATCCAGTGCCACTTCCTGCCATGAGCAGGGACATTTTCTCCTATCCCAGGGTTCTCCAAACCCTGTCCAGCCTGGCCTTGGGCACTCCCAGGGATCCAGGAGCAGCCACAGCTTCTCTGGGCACCCTGTGCCAGGGCCTCCCCACCCTCACAGGGAAGAATTCCTTCCCAATATCCCATCTAAATCAACCTCTCTCCCTTTAATGCCATTCCCCCTTGTCCTGTCCCTCCATCCCTTGTCCCCAGTCCCTCTTCAGCTCTCTTGGAGCCCCTTTAGGTACGGGAAGGGGCTCTGGAGTCTCCCTGGAGCCTTCTCTTCTCCAGGTGAGCACCCCCAACTCTCTCTATCAGAGAGGGGCAGAGTGGCTCCCCTCGGAGCAGCTCCACGTCCTCCTCTGGATTTGTCCCAACAAGTCCATGTCTGCCTTGTGTTGGGGGCCTCAAACCCAGACCCAGCACTGCAGGTAGGGTCTCACAAGGCAGGGATTCTGGGATTCAGGGATTTGGGGATTCAGGGATTTGAGGATTCAGGGCTCTGCTGTAAGCTCACCCCAGCCCATGCACACCAGTTCCCTGGGACACTCAAACCAGCAGTACAGGCACTCCTGGAATCAAAGGCTGAGCTCTTCTTACCTGTCCTGTGTCCCCAGAGAGCCCAGCTGGGGGTTTGGGGTGCAATAGTCGGGAGAGTTGATGAGATAAACCAGATCCATCTCTGTCACAGGCCTGGCATCCCCTTCCTTGGGGATCAGCTGCTTCCTGGGCCCCACGAGCCGGTGGGTCACCCTGAGGGCTGCCAGGTACCTGGATTTGAGGTCAGAGGCAATTTCCCCCAGGTCTGGCAGCCCCTTCCAGCAGGTCCTCACTGAGCAGGAGCCTGAAACTCCGTGGCATTTACACCTGGTATCCAGGGAGTCACGGAGCACCTGCAGAGCACAGGGAAAAGGTGAGATTGTTCCCCCTCAGAGTGACTCCCCAGGACACCCATGGGATGTTCCATGGGATGAAAGAGCTCAGAGCTGAAATAACAGGGCAATCAGGGCTCAGCCCTGCTCCAATCCCATCTAATAGGAACCTGATCCTTAGGGAACTTCCCACCGGAGCTGGCAGCAGGGCTGGAGGCTTCCCAAACCTCACCTGGGGAACAAGGGATGGAAGAACAAGGACCAGATGGGCTGGGGAGCCCAACTGGAATGGGGCAGGGTTGTTCCAGTGAGGAGGGTGGAAAGAAGCACTGGGAGTACTGGTGTGAAATGTCAGAATAGGTCAAGCTGAACTTGGGAAGGGTGTGGGATGCTTGGGGAGGGGGGCAGCAGTGGGAGGTGTCTGCAAACACACTTTTTAACCATTTAGTTGCCTCCCGATGTTCAGGACCTCCCAAAAACCTGGCTGGAGTCTGCTGCCTTAAATCAGGCCCCTCTGCCCCTGTCTGTCCCGGGGAGCTCGGAGCCACCGTGTCACCCCTGGACAGCCCTGGGGGGGCTCAGCCTCACTGTGTGACCCACTGCAGCGTCCCGGGGGGCTCACACACCCCATCCCAGACCGCGCTGGGCTCCATACCCCCATCCCCACCGTACCCACCGCCCGCCCCACGGCTCCGTTGTGCCGGTTCACGGCGCGGAGCCCCGGCGTGGCCCCGGGGGCGGCTCGGGCGGAGCCGTCGGTGAAAGCGGCTCCGAGCTGGAGGCCGTGGCTCAGGTTGTCGCCGCAGCCGCCCCATCGGGAGCCGGTTTCGGGGGGCTCGGCGGGGCCGGGGCCGCAGGAGCAGAGCGGGAGCTCTCCGGAGGMGCAGGAGCGGGCGATGCCCTGGGCCACCGCCGCCGCTGCCAGGGCGTGCACGAAGGCGGCTTCCCGTGTTCCTGCGGAGAAAACAGGGATTTGTGCTTCCTGCCCGCCCGGCCAGGCTCTCCTCTCAAGCAGCTCACAGTGCAAGGAGTTTCTTTATTTAATTTATTTAAACCCAAGCTTTCTCAATTTTTTAAAATTTTTAACCTTCGCCCCACCTCATATTGCACTGCCCGTATCCAGCCTGTATTCCCACCCCTTCCCCCTGTTTTTTTCCAAGACTCTGGCAGCTGTTTGAAATGGAAGTTACAGTCTGTCACCTCCCCCAGGTGGATGCTGCACAGGATTAACACGGTGTAAAGGCAGGATATTCACTCCGAAACAGAAATCCGAGGCAGAACCTCTCCTTCCAGCCCGGAATGCCGCTGGGGAAGAGCGGGAGCGGGAGGAGCATCCCTTACCTGTGAGCAGCTCGGGGCCGAAGCTGGGGGCTCGCTGGATGGAGGAGCAGTTCCACCTCATGTCCGCAAAGCTCTGCTGGCACAGGGCCAGGGTCCGGCGGGCAGCCCGGACAACGCTGGGCATCACCTCCAGGTTCCGGCGGCACAGCTGGACCTGCTCGGGCACCAGCAGCCGGCAGTGCTGGCTCTCGTTCCACGCCACCCCGCTGCCCGCCAGCCCGCTGTGG